ACATTCACTAAACCCTAAACCAGGAACAAACTGTATGCATGGAAGAGAGACTGTGTTCACATTTTTTACTCCAAAATACAGTAGATAAGAGTATTCCAAACTAGTTGTAGAATTCCCCTTACAACTCTACCTCACAAAACATAGGGCTAAGTCTGTAAGAATTTTGCTCACCTTATATAACACACTGAAGTGGATTTCAAAGCATAACCAATGTTTTGGAATTACAAAGGTTAACTAATTTCTTGGAAACCTCAGCAACTTTTAAATTCCCCAAGATCCATCAAAAATATGCCATCAGAAGGAAAAAACCTATGTGATTAACAAAGCTCTTTTTGCAGGCTTTACAATTCATTTTTGTATGACTCTGGGCCAGTTCCTTTTCTGTAACAGGTATATAATACCTGTCTCATCCTCTTACTTAGTTGTTGTGAGGATCAGATGAAATTAGCGTAAATGCGAACATTGTGAAAAACCAAACTACCATTGAATAATTATTATGTACCATACACCTTTACATACATCTCAGCAACTTATGTGGTAGGTAATATTATTATCCCCATTTATAGAAGATCAACCTGAGGCTTGGATAGGGTACGTAACCACTCAAAGTCTCCCAGGTCGGAAGAAGTGGTGTCTGAATTCAAACCTAGCCTTTAACTATATGACTTGCGCTCTTAATCACTAAGCCACACTGCTTAAATGATGCAATAGGTTAAATTACTACTAACATTACTGGAATATAGCATAGTGTAGCCTAGCACCTCAGTGTGGGGTTCTAGGACAGGGTGTGAATTCCAGCTGCACCACTTACTGGCCTTTGCCTAGTTACTTAACATCCCAAATCTCAGCTATTTCATCACTAAAATGAGAATTCAGTTCAGAATGGGGTTGTTCTCAGGATTGGATGAAACAATACATGTAATACACATGATACTATATATATATGTATGTCTATATCTGGCACACAGTAGGTACTCAATCACTATTAATACAGCTATTGGCAACGATCTTGATTCTAGGCAAGTTATCAGACCTTTAATATTTTTTAAGCTGACTCCTTACTATATCTTTGAAATTTCTGCTGCTAAAGATAATTCAAACAAGTTATGAACCTCAATATTCAAATGCAAATTTGCCAAAATCACATGAATTTCAGTCCAAATCTATATGGCAAGTTGAACAAACTGCTTCTTCCAGTCCTGCTTATCAAAAAAAATATGATCACTGGACCCTCCCAATACAAAGCTTTACTGCAAGAATTACAGGGTAGAAACATCCTTTCGGTTGTCTTCCTGGTTTATAAATCATCTTAGAAATTATTTACGTGCCTTTTTAATTTAAAAGCCATATCTGTTTTCCTGTGCAACTCTGGACTGCCCCACATAGACCCAGCTCACCGAGTGCTGGCCGGGCGCCTCTTGCTTGAACGTGGTGGCCATTGAGATGGGGGGCACCACAGCCCGGGAGGTCCATTGCTCCGGATCCTGCCCCGCATGGATGGCCTGCGTGGCGAAACGTGGGAAGCTAGGCAGGAAACCGTCTGAGGAGGCAGCTTTTTTCTGCATGCTGAACTGCGAAAGTAGGAGAGAGGAAAAGAGCGAGAAAGATGTAACTACAAAACCGGGAAGTCAGGGCAGGAGAGAGCCAGATGGATCAGGCGAAAGGCAGCTAAATACCGCGAGCACAGCCCACCGAGAGCGCACAAAAGGCGGTCATTCCGACTCTCGGGTTCAGACTTTATTAACCCGGCCAGAGGCTCGCGAGCACCGCGGGCGGAGCCACCGCAGCCCAATGAGCGAAGACCCGAGGCGGGGTCCGCTCCTCATTGGCTGGCAGTAGAGGCGTAGCCTGAAGCGCCCCGCAACGGCCCTTCCCAGTGCACAAAGTGGAGTGAAGCTGGCGTTCTTGTGCCCACGTGGCATTTAGTGCCTGCGGGCGAAATTCCTGAGTACCGCCCTTAGGGAAGCTGCCTTGTTGATTCCTGCGAGCCTCAAGGGCCTTAGTGTAACCTCAGGCTGGAGGCTGGCCCGAGATGTGGAGAAAGGCTGGCTTAGTGTTGAAATTGAGTAACTGTAAACAGACCACGCAAATAGCCCCTCTCGCCGCGGCCCATGCCCCTGACCCCTACCCCTTTGTCCTGAGGGCGGTGCTGAAAGACTCCAACCACAATGGGGAGATTGGCTAAGAAAACAGTGGCCCAAAAGCCCAGTTTTCAGCTTCTATTCTCATTAATCTCAAATACACTGAACTTTGTAATCACCCAGTGCTTATAATGATTGAAACAGAAGTGACGGTCTTATTTTTCTTAAGAAATAGAGAAGGTGCTGTACTCTCCATGTCTAAGTAGAATTCTGGTAGCTTCCTAAAAGCTGTTAAATCTTGAGCCTTTTCAAGCATCATTATCTTCTTTTGAAGTACTGGGAGAAATTCTTCCTGATGAGAAGAAAGATACCGTGGCTTTGAAAAATTTACTGGGGCCTCACATCCTTAAACAAAATGCTTTCCTCGTCACAAATTAGCAGCAACATCCTTGTAGGAAAAAGGAAGCAGCCCCGTCCATGTGACAGTTTACCACTCACCTGCACCCAGAGCCCTGTTCTCACAGGGATCACTCCTTCAAAACAAGCAACAAAATCTCCTTGTCGCCTAAACAATACAGACTTGACCTACTTACCATTGTGACTATTTTCTAGCATTAGAAAAGATAGGAATATTTCTGTTTCTGAAGAGTATCAGCTAGAGATTGGAAGATTTATCAAACCAATCAAGAAATACAAGAATAAGGAATAAACAGCTCTTAAAAATTTTTACAGTGCAAAAGAAAGATGTGAAGAGAAGGAATGAGGCAATTTGCTTTCCAAATTAGCTCCAGGGACACTTAACCCATGAAGCACTACAAGACTAGTGCCTAAGGGCCTGTGAGCTTTTAGAAACCTGCAAAATTTTTAAGCCTGCAGGAAAAAAAATGGATGGACTCCAAAACACTAATGGGTATTGATACATAATTAATATTTTTCTCTTAAAATTACAACATGTCAACTGCAACTTACCTCAATAACTATATATAACTATAGACAGGTATAGTTTTTTGTGATACAATATGGCACTTAAGGGCCAGCAGGGTTTGAAACAATTCCAATTAGTTTTATCTCCCAATGTTTGCTGACAAACCCTGAGTTGCATAAATATGAACATTTTATTCAGTGTTACTATAATAAAGAATTCTTTAAAAGATGGTGCGAACATAAATGCTCTAAATGAGGCCCCTTTTATTCTCATAAATTGAGAAAACATTATTGGATGGTACCTCAGTTATTATCTAGCAAGGATTTAAAATGCTCTTTTCTATGACTCAGGAATTTCATTTGTAGAAAATTTCATTTGTAGGAATTTATCCTTTAGATGTATTCTTCTTACATATTTAGGGAAGATGAGCAAGGATGTTCTTCATACCTATTTTGCTATTTTTACTAGCAAAAGAATGGAAACGGCTTAATTATTCATCCTTAAAAGACTACTTAGCCAGTTATATACTGCCCTGTGATTGCTAAACTATGGCCATGAAGCAGGAGGAGATTCAGATGCACTGGTATGCCACGATCTCTAATTTCTAAGACAGTAAAGCAAAGCAATGCATACATTCTTTTTCGAAAGAGTATGTATTGGGCGCGGTGGCTCACGCCTATAATCCTAGCTCTCTGGGAGGCCAAGGCGGGCGGATTGTTTGAGCTCAGGAGTTCGAAACCAGCCTGAGCAAGAGCGAGACCCCGTCTCTACTAAA